TAACGAGTCCGAGTTGAAGGCTCTTCTGCTGCGTCACCAGGCCTAGGAGAAGGACGTCTGCTACGACCCGTCAGTCTGGTTGTTGACTGGGTGGGTATCTTTTGTCCTTGGAGCCCCCGACGTCCCCACCGTCGTCATAGAGCCCGGGGACTATTTATCCGGCCGATTCTTCACAGACCGGCGCACTTGTCAGCATGGAGAGTCCGGAGCAGGTGGACGAGCAGAGCCTCGGGCGGAGAGGAGAACGTCGGTCTGCCGGGCCTGGTCAGACTGGTTGATGGATGAATGGATGCAGCAGGAGCAGTAATTAGTGGAGTATTTGCATCCAGCCTCCGCACCTTAGGAGGCCACGTACCAGTTGGCGATGAAGGGAGAGGAGGAGGAGGAGAACACCTAACCAGTCCGAGCTGGAGGCTCTTCTGCTGCGTCACTAGGACTCGGACAAGGCTGTCTGCTACGACCCGTCCATCTGGTTGTCGACTGGGTGGGGCTCTTTTGTACTTGGAGCCACCGACGTGCCCACCGTCGTCATGGCGCCCGGAGACCATTTCTCCGGCCGAAGCTTCCCAGAGCGGCGGACTTGTCTTCATGGAGAGTCCGGAGCAGGTGGACGATCTCAGGCTGCCGGACGAGCAGAGCTCCCATGTGGAGAGGAGACGGTCCGTCTGCAGGGCCTGGCCCGACTGGTTGATGGATGAATGGATGCAGCAGCAGCAGCAATTACTGGAGTATTTGCATCCTACCTACGCGCCTAAGGTGGCCACGTACCAGTTGGCGTTGAAGGGAAAGGAGGAGGAGGAGAACACCTAACGAGTACGAGCTAAAGGCTCTTCTGCTGTGTCACTAGGATTCGGAGAAGGCTGTCTGCTACGACCCGTCCATCTGGTTGTCGACTGGGGGGGGCTCTTTTGTCCTTGGAGCCGCCGACGTCCCCACCGTCGTCATAGAGCCCGAAGACCATTTCTCCGGCCGAGGCTTCCCATTTGGAGAGGAGACCGTCCTTCCCCGAGCCTGGCCCGACTGGTTGATGGATGAATGGATGCAGCAGCAGCAGCAATTACTGGAGTATTTGCATCCTGCCTACGCGCCTCAGGTGGCCACGTACCAGTTGGCGTTGAAGGGAAAGGAGGAGGTGGAGAACACCTAACGAGTCCGAGCTGGAGGTTCTTCTGCTGCGTCACTAGGATTCGGAGAAGGCTGTCTGCTACGACCCGTCCATCTGGTTGTCGACTGGGTGGGGCTCTATTGTCCTTGGAGCCACCGACGTGCCCACCGTCGTCATGGAGCCCGGGGACCATTTCTCCGGCCTAGGCTTCCCAGAGCGACGGACTTGTCTTCATGGAGAGTCCGGAGCAGGTGGACGATCTCAGTCTGCCGGACGAGCAGAGCTCCCATGTGGAGAGGAGACCGTCCATCTGCAGGGCCTGGCCCGACTGGTTGATGGATGAATGGATGAATGGATGCAGCATCAGCAGCAATTACTGGAATATTTGCATCCTACCTACGCGCTGAGGTGGCCACGTACCAGTTGGCGTTGAAGGGAAAGGAGGAGGAGGAGAACACCTAACGAGTCCGAGCTGGAGGCTCTTCTGCTGCGTCACTAGGTCTCGGAGAAGGCTGTCTGCTACGACCCGTCCATCTGGTTGTCGACTGGGTGGGGCTCTTTTGTCATTGGACCCGCCGACGTCCCCACCGTCGTCATAGAGCCCGGGGACCATTTCTCCGGCCGAGGCTTCCCATGTGGAGAGGATACCGTCCGTCCCCGGGCCTGGCCA